TGAGGCCTTGGGTCCGATTCCTCAGCACTACACAAGCAAAACTAAAAAAGCTGGAAGTGGCACTGTAGCTCAAGTGGTAGAGCACTAGCCTTGAGCTGAAGAGCTGAGGGACAGTGCCCAGGCCCAGAGTTCAGGCCCCGCGACCAGATACCCTCCGCCCCCCCCCCAAAAAAAAGAATTTTTTCATTGAGCATTCAACAAACCTCATTAGTCCTTGCCAAGACCATTCAATGCAGTGTCTTCTTCCTGCATCACTAGGATAAATGCATAGGGTTCTAAACAATGTCCACAGGTTTTTTTTTTTTCTGCCAGTCATGGGGCCTGAACTCTAGGCCTGGGCACTGTACCTCAGCTCTTCAGCTCAAGGCTACTGCTCTACCACTTGAGCCACAGTACCACTTGCAGCTTTTTCTGCTTATGCGGTGCTGACGAATTGAACCCAGGGCCTCATGCATGCAAGGCAAGCACTCTACCACTGAGCCACCTTTGCAGTCCTGTCCACCGGTTCTTAATGCAGAACAATTTTGAGGAGAGTGGGTGACAGTTTGCCACTCCAGACATTGCCCATATGGAAAAAACATTACATAGGCATTATGGTCAGCACATGGCTTTGTATTGCTGCTGTATATATACTAGTTTGTACAATTGCTTGGATAATTGGAAGATGATGTAGACCATGGATCTTGACATTGCCTTACATTTTGGTTTGGACTATTGACAGGCCTTTCATAGACATAGATGTGTAAGAATTGCTCTTAAGCCTACCTCAGCAGCCCTTTCTAAACAAGCACAGGACCCAGAATCCTTTAGTTCTCCAGCCATTTGTTATAGGGGATATATCTTCCCATACCCAGTGGGATATATTGATGTAGCCCAGCCCAACCCAAGGTGATACTTTCTGTTGTGTATATTTCTGTTGTTTATCAGTACAAAGTCTGCCTCCTTTCAAGTTGTTAATGAAGCAAGATTCCCACTGAGATTATAGCAACAAAGATGAGCTGGCCAAGCCTCTCATTGCTCTCCTCACTGAACCCACTGGCAATTCAAGTTTAGTAAATGGCTTTTACAGCTTGTGAGTTTGTTACAAATCTGCTCACAGGACAATTGGTCTCTTTTTCTGACAGGCACACTGCAGTTACTGCTTGCTGAAATGGGTTTCTTGCCATCACATTATTGGCTCCCTTTGTATTGGCAGCACAGCTGGCACACTCTGCTTATCTATTACATCTGTCATCAGAAGCAGCTGTTTTAGGAGAGCATTTGCCTCTAAAAATATTATTTCCAGATTCCCAAGATTCACAGTGAGTATTATTATTCCAAAATACTTTTTATCCATGGCCCAACATTTTACAAAGTTCTTCATCTCTGAAACTTTGCAATTTGGAGGTTTGTATACAAGGATATCATTAGGGAATACACTAGAAAAATCCACCAAAGGTAAATGTGGACTCATTAGTGGCTATGGCAGAGTGTCCAAAATCTGTTAACATCTCCGAAGATTTAATTACAGTAACATTTTGCTGTCATCACAAGCTATGGGCAGAAAAGCATTTTGCACCATTACTCAAGTGTCATTATGCATATGTCCTCTAAAGATAAGCATAGCTCCATTGATAAGAACAGTTAATGAAGGTATCTGGAAAACACACTTTTTTAAAATAAGTTTTTTTATTGTGAAAATACTGTACAGAGGGGTTACAATTACATGAGCAAGGTAATGAGTACATTTGGTTTTCCCCTACCATTCCTGCCCTGCCTTCCCATTTCCACGACTACACTCCCCCCTCCTCTCCCCACCAAAGTTGTAAAGTTCGTTTTTCAACGTAGCATTTTGTACATCTCATTGTTGCAATGGGTCCACCTGTATCCCTATTTAAACAATTTTTTCCCTTCCCCTCCCCAAATTATACCAACAATTATATTAAGTGAAGTAAGCCAGGCCCAAAGAAACATAGGTCCCATGGTTTCCCTTATTTGCAATAACTAGTATATGTCTAAGACATGCGGAAAAGGTCAGATAAGGTGATGTTAGGTGAAATGAACCCCAAGATAAGGACACAAGTGGTTTTTTCTTCCTTGCTATTGTTTCTAACATATTTATAAGGTGATTGTTTTGTTGCTTTGTATGTCCCTCCCCCACGGTATAACCCTTGTTTTCACACTTTCTTTCAAATTAGTCTGAGTCTTAGTGGTAACTTCATACATATCAAGATCATCTGTCAATCCATCCCCATGGCCTGCTAATGCTTTATAACCCCTATGAACATAAATGGAATTTGGTATTTCATCCTACACACTCATGTGGCTGCATCCACCTGGTATACTAGTTCCTTTCATTTCTGGACAAAGCTAGGTGTTGGATGATATATGATATTCCTGCCTGCTGCTCGTAGACACATACATTGCAGAATATCCAGGTATTAGGATCGTTACATCTCTCTGGTCCAGCTCCATATAGGTAACGAAAGTCTCTCCATAGCAAATGCTGACCAGGTCCAAGAACAATGGGAGTTGTCCTCTAAGACTGACTTGCATATGTTGAAAGCCCGTAATTTATCTGTGATATTGCTATCATTTGTTTCAATTCTGCCTCCACACATTAAAGACATTTTCTTACAAGGCCAGACGGTGTCCCTGTCTCTGGAGAGAATCCCTTGCTAGAGCTCTGATATTACCTATGCTCCTTTCTAAATTGCAATTCAAGTCCATTTGGAAAAAAAAAAACATAGTTAAGGTATATCAACCAATTACCCACAAAAGTTTCCCATGCAAACCTGCTTTATGTGAAGCCCTAGCTACAGAAGGGCTGAAAGGTTTAACGTTCAGCCAAATCCAGTAGGACTCTGTGGAAGGAACATGCAAAGAGCAATGGGGACCTTGCCAATGATCATTGCAGACACACACTTTTCTCTGGCCATGATCTGGGCTGCTGCCACTGGAATATCACAAGCTTCACCCTTCCAGTATGTATCACACTCACAATACACTTAACTTGTAACAAAGATGCCAGTGGTACACACCCCAAAAACAGAGCAATTGCTAGGGCAAGAACTGATTGAAGGCAACATATGGGAACCAGTTAGGTTATAGGCAGCATCACTAAAAAAGTATAACAATAACAATGCACAGCCAGATATTGTAATAACTTTGGGCACAGTTTCATTTCCCCTTGGTTCAGGGACTATCAACTCACTCAGCACTGCTATTAAGGGTGCATATGTTGAATCTCCACTCATTACCTTACTCATGTAACAGTAACCCCTCTGTACACAGTTTTTACAATAAAAAAGCATAAAAAGAATTCAGCAATTAACTCTCAAAGGCTTCACTAAATGAAAAAATTATAGGGGCAGGGTCCTTTTAAACAAATTCAACATGCTGCTGTGACTGTTCAATTGAGAGCTTGAAAAGGGCTAAAACAAATAATCCTGATAATCCTGATCAGTTTCATTCTGTTGTAATTTACATCAAACTCTCTCAGGAGCCTATTAACCAATTTATATAGATAACTTTTGGTGTCATGAAGCAACAGGCAAGACCAGAGCTGTCCAAACAAAAAGACATCGTAAGTCACATGTTCTGCATGTAACCTTCAGTTTTCTTATAGCTTAAATCAGGAAATGGAAAAGATAACAGGAGAAATAAAATTTAATAGTTTATTTTAAAAACACATGAAGCAGTACATTTCAGTGAAAAATATTGATTTACATGATATTCTATAGATGTTCTATAACAATATTTTGTGACGAGGACAGTTCTGTACCCCATTTGTTGTTTTGTAATTCCAGCACATCTCCAATTGGTACACTCATATTTCCTTTTCCCCAAACATTGAGCATTAAGACCCCTTCTCTTGTTTTCAACAATCTGTCTTATTTTCTCATCTCAATATTCCCATCATGGCATTTTAATATTCAAACAAGAAAGTTTACCATTGCTGAAGCAGATTTCAGAACATTTTGACTGTACCCTGAATATGCCAACATATAACCTGAAACGAACATATACAATATTGCAATATCAAGATTTTATCTCAAAATGAAGGTAATACCATGTATTGAAATTCAGATATTATCATATTATGAAATTATTCCATAACATATTTACCATCGCCATCATCAAATAGTAATATGAAGTGATGGCGTTGCTGCCAGCTTTCTTTGTAAAGGAGTTAGTTCTTGCACTAACTTTTGCCTGGGTCCCCTTCCTGGACCCCATAGACTCTTAGATGTCCCTAGATCCCAGTCACCTCCCAGCAGCCTCTGCTCTGTCTGGCTTACAGGTACCCTTTTTTCCCTCCACCCCATTATAATGAAACTCTCATGCCCCAAAGTATCTTTTGGAGGACAGTAGTCCAATCTTTAGATAGTAATGATCTCGAATGCATCCTCTGCTGCTGGCTTGTAGAAGAAAGGGAGGCAGGACTCTTCACTCCAGACTGCAGGCTCATGGTGGGGCTGGATGGCAGACAGCAGTACCACTTGAGACACACCTCCACTTCCAGCTTTTTGCTGGTTAAATGGATATAGGGTTTTCTTGGATGTGTCTGCTCAGACTGACTTCAAACGGTGGTTGTGATTCTCAGATCTCAGCCTCTTGAGCAGTTAGGATCCCAGGGATGTGCCATCAGTGCCGGCTGGGCACAGACTGGCAAGTGCAGACCAGTGACAGTTCTCAGTTGTCTTTCATCAACTGAACTCAATTCTTAATAATAATCCTTGTTTTTAGATATTTGACACTTGGGGTGTAGCTCAGTGTTAAAAAAGCTGGGCTTGATCCCTAGCACCCAGAATACAATAATCTATAATTCTTCTTTTTGCCAATCCTGGGGCTTGAACTCTTGGTCTGGACACTGTCCCTGTACCTATTTTCCTAAAGGCTAGAACTCTATTGCTTGAGCCACAGCAGTCCTTCTGGCTTTTTCTGTGTATGTGGTACTGAGGATTGAACCCAGGGTTTCATGCATGCTAGGCAAACACTCTACCACTAAGCCCCATTCCTAGCCACTCACTGACTTTTTGTTTGGTTTTGTTTTTTAAGAAGTAGTTTTGACTATGAAGATAATCTTGAAATTTTTGGAAAAAGACTTCTGGTGCCATAAAACACAAGTTTATAAAATCTCACTTCCAATTTAAGCTCTTCCAGGTGACTTTCTCCAGAAGTTTTCCAGTTCCTCAAGCAATGACAGTCTGGCAGCCCTGAGACGCCAACTTCTTTTACATGTCTCATCAAATGCAGTCATTACCTCTCCAGGTAAGGTCTCTTCTACTAAAACCGGAATCCCTCCAGGGCAATGACAGATCTCAATCTCCTTTGAAACTGCAGAAATTAAACAGTATTTGGCCAATAGTAGGCATTTAGTAAGCACACAATGGATAATGAAGGGGTTGGACAAGAGCAGGAATCAAGGCCTAACTGTGGTCCAGACCCACTGGACTAACTCCCGATCTCAACTTCACAAAGATAAATGGTTTATAATGGAAGGATAGGCTGTGGGGCTTAATTTCTTCAATGAAAGAGTGAGGCTGTTAGCTCAGGTTGCCTAGACACATTTGTGTTTGGCCTGAAGTGTTTTCCAAAACTCTGAATCTCACTGCTCTTGGGGCAAGCATTTTTTTCTATTCTCTAGTCAGATGGAGCTGACTCTATTCCCCAAGGACTAGGACTTATCTACTGAAGTACCTGCTGAAGGGAATTTTAATTTCTTACCTTTGAGTTTCTTCTATCTCCTGTCCTTTAAGAGAAGAAAAAAGACCAGGGCAGAAGGATAAAAGAATGATTTAGAGGACTAAAGGAGAAATAACACATCTTTGGTAGAAATTCCAGACTTAAAGTAAACAGGCTGAGAAAGAAATCAGGAAAAGAACTGCATTCACAACAGCCTCAAGGAAATATAAATTTAGGCATTTTTTATAATCAAACATACTAAAGACTTCTATAAATCCAGCAAACACAGAAGAAAGAAATTAAAGATACTAGATGATGGCGAGATTTCCCATGTTCATGGATAGGAAGAATTACATAGTGTACATAGCCACATCAGCAAAGACAAACTCCAGACTGAAGGGAATCTTTATGAAAACCAAATGCATTCTTTACAGGTAACAAATTCCTATGAACTATGAGTTGGGGGCTGGGGACTGACATCTGTAATCCTATTCAGGAGGCTGAGAGGTGAGGATGGTGGTATGAAGCCAGGCCCCTCGACCGAAACTTCAAGAGGTTCTTTTTTTTTTTTTTTTGTCGGTCATGGGGCTTGAACTCTGGGCTTGGGTGCTGTCCAACTCTTCAGCTCAAGGCAAGCACTCTACCGCTTGAGCTACAGTGCCACTTCCTCCAAGAGATTCTTTTTTTTTAATTTTTGCTTATGTGGTGCTGAGGAATCGAACCCAGGGCCTCAGGCATGCAAGGCAAGTGCTCTACCACTGAGCCACCTACCCAGCCCCTCCAAGAGATTCTTTTTTTTTTTTTTTTTGGGTCCAGTCGTGGGGCCTGAACTCTGGGCTTGGGCACTGTCCCTCAGCTCTTCAGCTCAAGGCTAGCACTCTACCACTTGAGCCACAGCGCCACTTCTGGCTTTTTTCTTTTTGCTTATGTGGTGCTGAGGAATCAAACCCAGGGCCTCACGCATGCAAGGCAAGCGCTCTACCACTGAGCCACCTTCCCAGCCACACTCCAAGAGATTCTTATCCCAATCGTTTAGCAAAATGTTGGAAGCAGAAGTGTGGCTCAAGCGGTAGAATGCTAGCCTTGAGATAATAAGCAAGTGTGCAAGAGTGAGTCTGAGAAAGCTAAACAAGAATGTGAGGCCATGACCAACACACACACACACACACACACACACACACACACACACACACACACACACACACACACACACACAGAGCCAACAACTTCACCATAAATGACTGAAGTGATAGTAAAGAAGAAAGTTCAAACAATGGGCTTGATACAATGATAAAAATGACTAATGAAATGAGAAGCGATATGTAAACCTGAATAAATTGCAAGAAGACACAAAAAATTGAGCTCAAAGAGAATTCAAGCAATCCACTGATGAAATAAAGAAAACAATGCAAGAGTGAAAGAAGGGATGACACTGTCCTTAAAGAAATACATTCATAACTTCACTCATAAAACTGTAAACTCTCTGTACATCTCTCTTTTATAACAACAAGAAAGAATATTTCACTGGATGTTGGTGACCCATGCCTGCAATCCTAGCTACTCAGGAGGCTGAGAGCTGAGGATCACTGTTCAAAGCCAGCCTGGGTAGGAGTCTCCATGAGACTCCTATGGCTAATAAACCACTCAGAAAACTGGAAGTTGCACTGTGGCTCAAGTATTAGAGCGCTCTCATTGAGCTGAAGAATTGAAGGATAGTGCCCAGGCCCAGAGTTCAAGCCACATGACCATCACCACCAACAACACAAAACCAAAAAAGAATATTGGATTAGAAAAGAAAACAATGAGGATATGAAAGAGGAATTTAATGAAGATATAGAAATCTTGGAGGAAAAAAATCAAACTGAGGGCTGGGAATATGGCTTAGTGGTAGAGTGCTTTCCTAGCATGCATGAAGCCCTGGGTTTGATTCCTCAGTATCATATAAACAGAAAATACTGGAAATGGCACCATGGCTCAAGAGGTAGAGTGCCAGCCTTGAAAAAAAGAAGTTCAGTGACAGTGCCCAGGCTCTGAGTTCAAGCTCCAGGACTGGCAGAAAGTAAGAAAGAAGAAAGAAAGAAGGAACAAAGGAAGAAAGAAAGAGAGAGAGAAAGACAGACAGAAAGAAAGAGAGGAAGAAAGAGAGAGAGGAAGAAAGGAAAGAAGGAAGGAAGGAACTAATTACCTGAGTTATATAACTGTAACTCCTTTGTACATCACCTTTACAATAAAAATGAAAAAAGAAAATTTTTAAAAAGGAGAAAACATTGAAAACACACTATAAATTATGAATGTAATTTACAAGATTATAATACTTGTTGGATTTCATCAAAACACTAAACAATAATTCATGGGCACCGAGGGAGAAGATTAAAGGTATGGCAAGTCTATCCAATAAATTAGCAGAAAAGTTCCCAAGCCTTGAAGAGAGGGCAACCCATGCAGAGGAGGTTTGCAGAACACCAAACAGGCAAGATCAGAGAAACACCTTTAGATATAGTATAGTTAAAGCACTAAATATACAAAAGAAAGAATATTGAAAGCTACAAAGGAGAAGACAAGAAAAGATATACAATGGTAAGCCCATTAGTATAATAGCAATTTGTGTGTGTGTGTGTGTGTGTGTGTGTGTGTGTGTGTGTGTACTTGTGCTTGAACTCTGGGCCTCATAGTCTTGCTTATTAGCCTTTTCTCCTCAAGGCTGGCACTCTACCATTTGAAACAGAACTTTACTTCTAGATAGTAGCAAATTCTATATTCAAGGAGGAAAAGGACAGACATAATCTAAGCCCTGAAGATCATAATTCTCAATTTAGATTAATATACCCAGTGAACCTATACTTCACAATTGAGGAGAAAAAAAAAAACTTCCATGATAAACAAAAGCTAAAGAAATTTCTGACTCCTACAACAACACTTAAAGGAATCTTACCTATAAAAGAAAACCAAAAATAGTAAAATTGCTGAAAGACTAAACCCTACTGGATGAGTAGATTACTAGCAAGTGACTCCCCAAAGCAGGAAGGAGAAGCCATCCTTTAGACATCTGACTTTAAGCAGCCATCATTGAAGACCTAAAGGAGAAATAAAAAAGTTTCTGGAAATCGAATGAAAACAAAAACACAATGGCCCAGAACCTTTAGGACACAGCAAAGGCAGTTATGAATGTCTACATCAAAAAGCAAAAGCAAGCTGGTGCTGATGGCTCACGCCTGTAATCCTAGCTAGTCAGGAGGCTGAGATCTGAAGATCATGGTTTGAGGCCAACCTGGGCAGGAAAGTCCCTGAGACTGTCATTTCCAATAAACTACTCAGAAAAGTCTGGAAGTGGAGCTGTGGCTCAACTGGTAGAGTATTTGTCTTAAGCAGAAGAAGCTCAGAGACAGTGCTCAGGCCCTCAGTTCAAGCCCCAGGACCAAAAAACAAAACAAAACAAAACACACAAAAACGCCAAAACATAATAGAGTTCCCAAACAAATGATCTAATTATGCACCCCAAACTTCTAGAAAAGTATTAACAAGCCAAACCAAGAGTTAACAGACTGAAAGAAAGATTTGGGCAGATGTTAATAAAATAGAGACTGAACAAAGAATCAATATACAAAGAATCAATGAAACAAAAAGCTCGTCTTTAAAAACAAAATCAAATGGATAACTTCTAGCAAATTTGACCAAAAGAAGGAAGGAAGAAACTAACATCAATAAAATCAGAGATTTAAAAAAAAGGAAATATCATTAGCAAGTTTCCAGTGGCTCACACCAAGCTACTCAGGAGATTGAGATCTGAGGATCCTGGGTAGATTGAGTCCATGACAATCTTAAAATCAATTATCCAGCAAAAAGCTGGAAGTGGAGGTCTGGCACAAGTGGTAGAACACCAGCCCTGAATGGAAAACAGAGTGCCCTCAGTTCAAGACCCAGTACTAGAATGTGTGCACTCACACACACACACACACACACACACACACACACACACACACAGAAAGAATGATTTATATAGAGTAGTAACTGATGTGTACTGTATTTGCATTTTGGTGAATAGTAGAAAATTCAATGGCATTAAAAAATATCTTTTTAGGGCTGGGAAGGTGGCTCAGTGGTAGAGTGCTTGCCTTGTGTGCCTGAGGCCCTGGGTTCGATTCCTCAGCACCACATAAGCAAAAAGAAAAAAGCCGGAAGTGGCACTGTGGCTCAAGTGGTAGAGTGCTAGCCTTGAGCTGAAGAGCTGAGGGATAGCGCCCAGGCCCAGAGTTCAGGTCCCACGACCAGACCCCCCAAAAAAATTAAAAAAAAACTTTATTATTATTGAAACAAGAATTATTTTTTTATTTTATTTATTTATGTTCGTTGTGAAGTTTGAACTCGAGGCCTGAGTGCTATCCCTAAGCTCTTCAGCTCAAGGCTAGCGCTCTACCACTTGAGCCACAATGCCACTTCTGGCCTTTTCTGCTTATGTGGTGCTAAGGAATCGAACCCAGGGCCTGATGCATGCAAGGCAAGCATCCAACCACAGAGTCATCTTCCCAGCCCCTGAAACAAGAATTTATTATACATAGAATAAAACAGCAAAATGGAGTTTGAAGGTCAGTTTTGAAATATCTTCGTAAATATCATATGGTTTTAATAATAGCACAATGAGATTTGTAATATATTTCAGAAAAACTTAAAAGACAGTTGTGGCAAGAAAAGTTATGTTTCAGAGGAAATAACTGTAAGGCAGATAAAATACTGTAGTGGTAATCATGTCTTTTGTCAAAAAAGGCCCAACTCAAATTCTTGAAAAACATTATCTTATAATGGTTAGAGGAAAGACTGAAAGGCAGACTTCTCATGGACTTCCAGGGGTTAGGGGAGATGGGATGGCTTTACCTTAAGCATCCAGTGACATTGTAGAATATATCAAAATCCAGCAGGCCATTTGATTTGGGGTAATCTCCTTCAGGCCACCCGGAGAAGGGGATGATGGTATTCTCGGTTAGAGTGAGCAAGGCTTCTGTTATCATGAGATTCTTGAGTTTGTCATTGGAGGACAAATTCCACAGCAAACCTAGGAAAGTGGAGCTAGCATGAGAGTGGTGCAGGGTGGGGCCCCATGGAGCTATGAAGTCCACTGAAGGCATCTGCTCCAGGACTGAAGGCATCTGCTGGAGCCAGAAGGCTGTGGGGTGAAGGGCGTGGGGGTGAGGAGAAAGAGCATGTTGCTTGCTGAATACATGACAATGGGAGCTGCTCCCTAAAAACAATTAAACACACAGCCCTCATGACAGGAAGCTGTGCAGGGTTTGTCAGGACAAACAAAAGCACCTGCCCACTGTTCACTGTAGCCCAGATTACAATAGCCAAGCCAAATGCCCCACAATAAATGAATGGAAACCAAACCAAAACAAACAACAAAAACCCCATAGTAGCTGGGCACCAGTAGCTCACACCAGAAATCCTAACTAGTTACTCAGGAGGCTGAGATCTGAGGATTGCTGTTGGAAGTCAGCCCAGGAAGGAATTTTGCTGAGACGCCTATCTTCAATTAACACCCAAAAAGCTGGAAGGGGAGATGTGGCTCACGTGGTAGAGTGCTAGTCTAGAGCAAAAAAGCTCAGGGACAGTGCCTAGGCCTTGAGTTCAAGCCCCAGTACCTGAACAAAAACAACAACAGATAGATAGATAGATAGATCATATAATATATATATGTTATGTAATCATATATATGTTGTTATATATGATATATATCGTATATGTTAGATATGTATTATATTTATGTATATGTAAAATGAAATATAATATGTATAGAAAAACAACACACACACACACACACACACACACACACACACAAAGGAATTTCATGTATCCATTAGGAAGAAATTATGTCACTTGCGGGAAAATGGAGGAATGATGAACAAAGTAATTCAAGCCCCTGAAGACAAGGATGCATGTTTTCTCATATATAGATCTTAAACCCCAAATACATCTTCCCAGGTAAACACACATAAAGGCATACACTTGTTTATTTTTGTTGGTTGTGGGGCTTGAATTCCAGGCCTGGGCACTGTCTCTGAACTTATTTCACTCAAGGTTAGCCCTCTACCACTTGAGCCACAGTGCTACTTCCGGTTTTCTGGTGGTTAATTGGAGATAAGAGTCTCCTGGCCTTTCCTAGCTGGACTGGCTTTGAACTGAGATCCTCAGATTTCAGCCTCCTGAGTAGCTAGGATTACAGGCGTGAGTAACTGCCAGCAGCTTGGCATGTGTTTACATACATGATGTGGTTGACTACAGTATAGAGGCCATTTTTGAGAGACTCTTATCTCCAATTAATCAGCAAAAAGCAGGAAGTAGAGCTGTTGCTCAACTGATACAGCACCAGTCTTGAGTGACAAAGCCAAGTTAGAGCACAATGCCCTGAGCTCAAGCTCCAGTACCAGCACCCAAAAAACCAACAAACAGGGCTAGGAAGGTAGAGTAGTTGCCTTGCATGCATGAGGCCCTGGGTTCGATACCTCAGCACCACATAAGCAGAAAAAGCTCCACCTGGCACTGTGACTCAAGTGGTAGAGTGCTAGCCTTGAGCTGAAGATCTCAGGGATAGCGCCCAGGCCCAGAGTTCAGGTACTATGACTAACAGAAAAAGAAAAAGGAGCCTTCTTCTGCTTGTGTCATCTTCTGCTTGTGTCATCTCCTCTGGTGCTCATGATAGCCTGTGTCCTGGGCTTTGGTGGTCTTTGGCTTCATTAGAATGGGAAAGGGAGAGAAACAGAATCTTCCTCACCAGAGGGAGTTCCTACTTTCCTTTTTTCTTTTTCTTTTCTTTTTGTGCTGATACTTGGGACCTCTGAGCTCTTGCTTAGCTTTTTGCTCATGGCTCGTCTATTATTTGAGTCACACTTCCCCTTTTAGCTTTCTGCTAGTTAACTGTATCCTCAGATTTCAGCCTCTTGAGTAGATTACAGGATAGGTGTGAGATATCAGTACTGGCTCTCTTAATTTTCATGATGGCCATTATAGTTAATACAGTTAAAAGCTTACTAGTTACATTTGTACTAACGCACCTTAGACTAATGTTTGCATTATCTGCTTTTGTATTTACTTTGTTTTTTTTTTTTTTTTTTTGCCAGTCCTGTGACTTGAACTCAGGGCCTGGGCACTGTCTTGCTTTTTCTGTGTATGTGGTACTGAGGAATCAAACCTTGGGTTTCATGCATGCTAGGTGAGCACTCTACCACTGTGCCACATTCCCAGCCCTTGTCTTTTTTTTTTGGGGGGGGGGGGCTTTGTTATGTGCCAGTCCTGGGGCTTGACCTCAGGGTCTGAGTGCTGCCCCTGAGCTTTTTTGCTCAAAGCTGATAGTCTACCACTTGAGCCACAGTTCCACTTTGGGATTTTTTCTTTTCTAGTTCATTGGAGATATGAGTCTCAGACTTTCCTGCCCATCGGGCTTCGTACCTCCATCCTTCAATCTTGGCCTCCTAGGATGGTCCTAGGATGACAGGCTTGAGCCACCAGTGCCCAGATCACGTTTCAGGGTTCAAGAGTGTGCTTTGGCTACACTTGGAAACATTTAACCCAATTTTCACTGCAGCCCACACAAAGTTTCCATTAACCATGGAGACAGTGGGTCAGCTGTCCAACTAGGAATGGATTTCTGGCTTGCAAAAGTCTTTCCCTGATGAGAAGAAAAGTCTTCTCCTGTGTCTGGGGTGAGTCCTGAGCAGGGTCTCTGAGCCATGGGTTTTGCAATACATTGATCTCATCCCTCCTGCCCCATCTTAAGAGGGTTTGGAAGAGAAAGAGAGAGCATTAAACCTCAGAAGCCAATTGAGTCCAATCAAAGGCACATCTGAAGTTGAGTCTGGGTTATTAAGCTACAAAAGAAAGATAGAAAAGAGAGGGAGCTGGGAGAGAAAGCTTTCTTTCTTTCTTTCTTTCTTTTCTGGGTCCAGTCGTGGGGCCTGAGCTCTAGGCCTGAGCGCTGGCCCTCAGCTCTTCAGCTCTAGGCTAGAGCTCTACCACTTGAGCCACAGCACCACTTCTGGCTTTTTTTTCTTTTTGCTTATGTGGTGCTGAGGAATCAAACCCAGGGCCTCATGCATGCAAGGCAAGCGCTCTACCACTGAGCCACCTTCCCAGCCCAGAGAGAAAGCTTTCTAAGTTCTTAAATAAACAAACAAATTAATAGTGTCTGCCTGCCAAAGCTTAAAAATGTGAAACATAGCCGGGCGCTGGTGGCTCACGCCTGTAATCCTAGCTACTCAGGAAGCTGAGATCTGAGGATCGCGGTTCAAAGCCAGCCCGGGCAGGAGAGACCTTGAGACTCCTATCTCCAATAAACACCAGAAAACCGGAAGTGGCGCTGTAGCTCAAGTGGTAGAGCGCTCGCCTTGAGCTGAAGTGCTGAGGGACAGCACCCAGGCCCAGAGTTCAAGCCCCACGACCGACAAAAAAAAAAAAAAAAAAAATGTGAAACATAAAGACAGGGCATTTCCTTTTTTATAAGAAGGGCCAAACAGGCATTCAAAGGAAAAGTACACTTTACAATAAAAACCAGCCAGGATTAATTTAAACAGAAGGAGTAGAATTTTCCTTTAATGCAATGTTTTTTTGGTTTGGTGCCAGTACTAGAACTTGAACTCAAGGCCTCATGCTCTCTCTTAGGATTTTTCCACTGAAGGCTGGTGCCCTACCACTTGAGCCATACCCTCACTTCTAGCTTTTGGCTGGTTTGTGGAGATCAGAGTTATACAGAATTTTCTGCTTCAGCTACTTTCAGACTTCAATCCTCAGATCCTCCGGTGTAGCTCAGGTATGATCCACCAGGCAAGAAAGCAAATTTCTTGTAAAGATGGGAGGTAAGCCAAAAACAAGTGGACTTTTCTAAAAGAAGACAATTCTGGTTGACTTTGAAAAAAACAACAAGCCCACATAGCTCTAGATCCAGCTTTATTACCAGGCATGGGAAGATAGGATATAGAGGGGACAAAACTCAGTTCATCCCTCACCACAACGTCAACCTGAAATTATTGCTACACCAGCAAATTTCCAATGGACTGGTAATAAAGCAGAATTACAGTCTTGGGTTGCATCCCAAATCCATCTTAGAATGGATCACAGGAATCTGTAAATTTTCTTTTGTGCGTATGCCTCTACTTCAAGTCCTGGGCTTAAACTCAGAGCCTTGCACTCTCTGTTGGCTTTATTGTTCAAGACTGGCACTATACCACTTGAACCACACCTTTACTTCCAGCTTTTTGTTGGTTAATTGGAGATCAGATTCTCTTGGATTTTTGTTCACAGGGTGGCTGTGAACCTTGATCATCAGATCTCAGCCTCCTGAGAATCCCTGCTACTACAGTAGCTATTATAATCCTCAGGATTATAAGCTTGAGCCACCAATGTTGGGTGGGAATTTTTGTTCTTTTAATTAATTAATTTATTATTATTTTGGTATTGGTTCTGGGACTTGAACTCAGGGCCGGGCACCATCCCTAAGCTTCTTTTGTTCAATGCTAGAGCTCTAACACTTGAGCCACAGCTAAACTTCAGGTTTTTTGTTGTTGTTGTTTTGGTTTGTTTTTGTTTTGCTAGTCCTGGGGCTTGAACTCTGGGCTTGGATACTGTCCTTGAGCTTCTTTTGCTCAAGGCTAGCACTCTTATCACTTAAGCCACAGCACCACTTCTGAGTTTTTCTGTTTATGTAGTACAGAATAATCGAATCTAGGGCTTCTAGGCAAGAACTCTGCCATTAAGCCACATCCCCAGCCCAAGGTTTTGGGTTGTGTTTAGTAGTTTATTAGAGATAAGATACTCATAGACTATCCTACTAGGGCTGGCCTTGAACTAAGATTTTCAGATTTCAAGCCTACGGAGTAGCTAGGATTATAGCAATGAGGCCCATCTTTGAAAAATTTTAACATAATTTTATTGTTATTATTAAGGTGTTATACAGAGGTATAACAATAACATGGTATACTATGGTATAACAAGTATTATACCATTTCATATATCAGATGAGTACATGTCCTTTTTTGACAATATTGCTCATTCTTCCACTTTCCCCCAGTTTCTTCCTCCTGTCCCTACCCATTTTTGTTATTTTTTTCATATAATTTCATTATTTTTTTTTATAATTTCCTTATTATTCAGCGTTACCATTTCATAAGTCAGATAATGACTACATTTCTTTTTTGGACAATGTCATTCTTACTTTGCTTTCTGCCCAGATTCCCCATCTTATCCCTGCCCATAAGATACATGGTTCATTTCCCAGATAGTACATACTGAATGTTTTATTAGATTTTTAAATTTTTTCATTATAAAGATGATGTATAGAGGGGTTACAGTTATATAAGTCAGGTAAAGAGTACATTTCTTTAGTTTTTTGTTTGTTTGTTTGTTTTGGTCAGTTGTAGGGCTTGAACTCAGGGCCTCTGTACATGAGCATTTCTGCTCCAGCCAATGCTCTACCACTTTGAGCCACAGCATCAAGTCTGGTTTGGGTTTTGGTTTTTTGTTGGAAGTAGGGCTTAAACTATGGGCCTGGGAGCTGTCAGCCTTGCATTCTTCAGCTCAAGGAGAGAGGTCTACCACTTGAGCCACGGTGCCACTTCTAGTTTTCTGGTGGTTAATTGGAGATAAGAGTCTCATGGACTTTCCTGCCCACTTTCCTGTCCAGGCTGGCTTTGAACCACAATCCTCATATCTCACCCTCCTTAGCAGCTAGAATTACAGGCATGAGCCACCAGTGCCCAGCCAGGAGTACATTTCTTTTTGGACAATGAAACCCCTTCCCTCGTTCTCTCCCAATTTTTCCCTCCTGTACTACCAACAAGTTGTACAGTTCATTTACAACATAGTGTCTAGTGAGTGCTACTGCTTCATTTGCTCACCGTTATTCCTTCCATTTCTGTGCCCTCCCAAAGACAGATAAACAAACAGAAAAAAAATGAAGACAATAACCTAAAGTCCATTTCCTGAAGCTCATTTCAATAAATATTATTTTTATATGATCATAGGTATATTGAATATTTTTTGTCAGTCATAGGGCTTGAACTCTGGGCCTGGGCACTGTCCCTTAGCTCTTCAGCTCAAGGCTAGCACTCTACCACTTGAGCCACAGTGCCACTTGCAGCTTTTTCTGTTTATATGGTGCTAAGGAATCGAACCCAGGGCCTCATGCATGCAAGGCAAGCATTTTACCACTGAGCCACCTTCCCAGCCCCCTGAATATATATTTTAAAATATCCACACAAGGTGGTGTGTGTCTGTACCTCAACTACCAGGGCAAGGGGCTTAGTTGAAGTAGAAGAGCACTTTCTGAGCTCTCCTGAGACCCTGGGGTCAGTGTGTGGTGGGGAAATGTAGCTGGATGTGATGGCTCCTGCCTATACTCCCAAGACTTCAGGAGGCTGAAGCAGAAGGACTGCAAATTCAACCACAGCTTCTGGTACACAGTGTGCTCCGGCCTCAAAAAACTAACCACATCTTCCTGGCCTTCAATTAGGCACCAAGAAACCTCTGACTAGAGATGCTTCATTCTCAATCCCATTTGAGATTCACTCATATGTATGTACATATAATAAGATGTATATATGTAGCTATGTATATATAATAAGATAAAGGTTCTAAGCAGTCTAGAAAGACAAGTTTGTGAGACTTTTCTCTCCCAATTAACCAGCAAAAAGCTGGTATTGCGAAGATGTGGCTCAAGAGGTAGTGCACTCCCTTGAGCTAAGGGAGAGAGCAAGACCAAGTTCAAGTCCCAGTACTAGCATTAAAAAAAAAGAAAGGGCAAATGAGCTGGGCACTGGTGGCTCATGTCTGGAATCCTAGCTACTCAGGAGGCTGAGGTCTAAAGATTGCAGTTTAAAATCAGCCTGGGCAGATAAGTCCTTGAGACTCATACCTCCAATTAACAATCAAAAAAGCCACTGTGGAGCCATGGCTTAAATGGCCAATCATTAACTTTATGCAAAACAACTGACAGACAGTGCCCAGGCATTGAGTTGAAGGCCCAGGACTGGCACAAAAAAAAAAGAAATAAAGAAAAAAAGGAGGGGGGAGCAGGCATTGGATCTTTCTAGCCTTGTTTTTTATTGTTTTTTTTTTTTTTGGGGGGGGGTCCGGTTGTGGGGCCTGAACTCTGGGCCTGGGCGCTGTCCCTCAGCTCTTCAGCTCAAGGCTAGCGCTCTACCACTTGAGCCACAGCGCCACTTCCAGCTTTATTCTTTTTGCTTATGTGGTACTGAGGAATCAAACCCAGGGCCTCAGGCATGCAAGGCAAGCGCTCTACCACTGAGCCACCTTCCCAGCCCCTCTAGCCTTGTTTTTTTTAAAGTGGTCTCAGTGGAACTTGTTTTTTGATCTCTCTAGCATGTATAAACTCCTTGTCATAAATTTTAGGATATGAGACTATTGCAAAGATCCTTTGTTCCAAGTTGTCTACAAATTCAGGATATTGGTGGCCCATTTTGAATACAGAATAGAACAATATATGGGATAGGAAGCCTGGCTCCAGTTGAAGAGTGCCAGCCAATGAATAAATACAAGCATTAGATAAGTTTGAGTCACAGCCTTGGGGGAAAAAACACAACACAACACACACACACACATACACACACACACACACACACACACACACACAAGCCACAGGACTGGAAAAAAGTGTTTGTGTATGCATAATGAATATTTTATGGCAAGGTATGTTTGGTATTAAAGTAACAATCCAATTAGATGAAAACAGGTAAGAGGTAAATACACATTTTCAAAACTCACAGATTACCACCCCTGACTTACCTTGTGCCTTATGCACAAAGCCCCTTGTTCCATTTGTGTATGTATGAGAGAGAGAGACAGAGACAGAGAGAAACATCGAGAGAGAGGAGGAGAGAGGGGGAGAGAGGAAGAGAGAGAGAGAGGAGAGGGCACTTGTGCCCATCTGGGGCTTGAATTCAGGACCTAGGTGTTGCCCTGATATTTTCTGTTCCAGGCTGGCATTCTGCCACTTGAGCCACAGCTGCACTTCTGGCTTTTTGCTGGTTAATTAGAGATAAGAGTTTCACAGACTTTCCTGCCCAGTGGGGCTTCAATCCCTGATCCTAGGATCTCAGCTTCCTGAGCAGCTAGGATTACAGGCGTGAGTCCTCAGTGCCCCTGCCCCTGCTCCATTCTTACCCGGATATGTCTCTTGTACCCCAAGGCATGCCAGAACATGCTCACTATTTAACAAGTTGAAGGTGCACTGATATCACGTCAATTAAAATAATAGAACCAACCATACTCCCTCAATAGGGAAAACCATCTGGGGGTGTGAGTGGGTGGAAGGGGTCTTTAATCATCAAAGTTTTCATTGGGGTGAGGAGAGTTTGCCCCTTAAGCTGGCACTGAAAGGTCAGAGTTTACATTCTCACCTAGTGAATACAATGATGCAGAACTTACTCATATATACAAACAAGTAGGTTCACTTTTTGTGAGCTCTTACTTACTCTTGTCTACTACAAGCTGATGCTTTACTACTTGAGCCACATCTTCATTTCTGGCCCTTTGCTGGTTAATTGGAGATAAGAGTCTCTTGGACATTTCTGCATGGGCTAACTTCGAACCATGATCTTCCAGATCTCATCCTCCAGTGTAGCTAAGATTATAGGTCTGAGTCACTAAAGCCCTGCTGGGTTTGGTGCTTGTTGTTTTGCATTTGGATGTCCTAGCTACCAGAGCCTCTGAACCCTACACATTCTTAAACTACAAAGCTGGCTCCGAAGTGAATTTCATAGACTTTTCAGGTGAAAAATCTTGCCAAGAAGTTATTTTAGAGACATTTAGTCAAAGAAGAGAGAATTTCTAATTTAAAACATCAAGCAGCTGGGCACCAGTGGCTCACACCTACAATCCTAGCTGCATGGGAGGCTGAGATCTGAGAATCATGGTTCAAAGCCAGCCAGAGCAGGCAAGCCTATGAAACTGTTATCTCCAATTAGCCACCAAAAAGCTAGAAGTGGGGGTGTGGAGACACACACATACACACACACAGGCATGCACACATACACGTACACACACATACACACCAAAACTGACCTCCATCACCAAAAAAGTTAAGCAAAAACTTCAGAATATTTTTCCGTTCAGGAAAAAAAAAGTTCAGACATGGTAGATGCAGGGCTGTAGGCCAGCATGGAATAACATTCCTTAAAGCTATCTTTTGGATACCAATGAGCCTATCAATCATCTGCTCCAGGAAACGTAAGGAAAACACACAACCTCACCCATCTGCTGGGGTTCTGTGTCAGTGCGCACTACCTGTTACTTGCTTCTTGGTCTCCAAGTCTCCCGTTTGCTTCAGCACCTGCAGCAGCTGGGGAACCCCGAGTTCAGCCACCTCCACCTTGTCATTGTCCTCAAACACCAAGTTCCTCAAGGCCCCACACACGGCTCGCTGAACATCTTCATTCTGAACCTTCAGCAGCTGCAGCAGCTTGGGTATGCCACGGAGCTGGTAGACCTGCACAAGTAGATGCACATTTCCAAGATTTACGTGTGTGTGTGTGTGTGTGTGTGTGTGTGTGTGTGTGTGTGTGTGTGTGTGTGTGTACTGGGGCTTGAACTCAGAGTCTTGCACTTTTTTTTTTTTTTGTGGTTGGTCGTGGGGCCTGAACTCTGGGCCTGGGCGCTGTCCCTCAGCTCTTTAGCTCAAGGCTAGTGCTTTACCACTTGAGCCACAACGGCACTTCCAGCTTTTTTCTGCCTATATGGTGCTGAGGATTCGAACCCAGGGCCTCATGCATGCGAGGCAAGCACTCTACCACTGAGCCAACTTCCCAGCCCGAGTCTTGCACTTTTACATGGCTTTTTCCTCTACCACTTGAGCTGCATGCTTCACTCTGGCTTTTTGGTGGTTAATTGGAGATAAAGAGTCTCACAGACTTTCCTGAGCAGGCTGGCTTTGAACCATGATCTTCACATGTCAACCTCCTGATTAGCAGGGATTACAGGTATGAGCTATAGGCACCTGTTTTATAACTTTCTATTTCTGCTGATGCCTTCCCTGCCAACTTTTACTAAGTACTTATGTGATTGTTTTATGCCTGTACTGGAACTTGAGCAGCTCCATTTCTAGCTTGTTTGCTGGTGAATTAGAGAGAAGAGACCCAGGAATTTTCTAGCCTGGGATAGCTTCCAACCGCGATTTAGCCTGAGATCTCAGCTTCTGGAATAGCTAGGATTACTGGCATGAGCGATAGGCACCTGGTTTATAACTTTCTCTTTTGGTGACAGCTTTCCTCTGCCCACTTTTTAATAAGTGAGTGAAGAGGACTTCAGGTGGTACACGAAGCAAAGGCTGTGTGTGGCACAGGAGCCTTGTGGTCACAGCCTTCCTGGTCTGCTTGTTTCTCCACTCTCTCTTCAGGCAAAGCCCTCCTTGCCCTGCACCAGGCAGCTCAAATGCCACCTTCTTCGTGAAGTGTCACTCCTCTCCTCTCCTCTCCCTCCCCTGAGATTGAATCTCTCAGTAAATTGCTCTAACCTTTCAGGAAGGGAAGTGGCCACGTGTGCCAATATTTTGAACCTAAGCACATATGGTAACCATCAGAAACTAATTTGCAGTAGAGACAGGCTCACGTACACAAATAGTAACTACATTATCTATCATGATAAAAATGAGGAACCATACATGATAACAAAGGGGAGGAAAGCTGATGGCTGCCGAGGACCCACGTGTTAAGACAGAGTTTGAATGAACAGACAGCTAGACATTTTCTTACTCATACAATTCCCACATCATTCATGGGAATTGTGTAAGGTTAGCAGCCACATGGAGACTAGTTTCTTAACACGTGGCACTTCCTAGTGTTACCATCAAACTATCACCATTAGCTGGGTACTGGAAGCTCACACCAGTAACCCTAGCCACTCAGGAGCCTGAGATCTGAAGATTGCCATTCAAAGCCAGCCTGGGCAGGAAAGTCCAGGAGACTTTTATCTCCAATTAATCACAGAAAAAGCCAAAAGTGGCGCTGTTGTTCAAATAGTAGAGCACTAGTCTTGAGAAAAAGGAGCTTGGGGAGAGCACCCAGGCCCAGAGTTCAAACCCCAGGACTAGCCCTGCCCCCACTCCAAAAAAAATTACTATTTCTTTCTCTTCCCACCATTCTTTCTTCTTCCTTCTTTCCTTCCTTTCTTTTTTCCTTTTTTTTTTTTTGTTTTAGACAAGGTTTTGCTGTATCTAGGCTATAATCACTAGCCTTGAGCAAAATAGATAGTTCAGGGACAGCAGGCAGGCCCTCAGTTCAAGGCTCAGGACTGGTCCCCCCTACCCATCCCACTCATTAAAAAAAAGTAGTAGGTGATTACAGGACCAATAAAGATAGAATTTATAAATGATACAGGGATAGATGGCTTTAAGTCCTAAAAACAAATAAAATAATGACTGACAAGTGGTTGTTGGTTTTAAAAGTATGATGATCTAAACTATTGTTTTATGTCCAAATTATAACTGTCATTCATAAATTCAAAAACAATAGCATCATGCTAGTACTAGCCAGACTTTGTTAATGTTTGTAGAGGATAACAACATAATTCTTAGATTTTTTTGTTGTTGTTGTTCAGTCTTAGGGCTTGAACTCAGGGCATGGGTGCTGTCCCTCCTGAATAGCTAGGATTACAGGTGAGAGCCACCAGCACCTGGCTAGATTTTTTAAACAAGAAAATCCATTTCAAGTGTGAATATAATTTTAATTATTAAGTCATCTTTCACTTTGAGGTCATATTTTCTTTCTGGGCTGATAATGGGCCTTGAACTCAGAGCCGCTCATATTTGCTTGGCTTTTTTGCTCAAGTCCAGAGCTCTACCACTGAAGACTCAGTTCTACTTCCAGCTTTTTGCTGGTCAGTGGGACATAAGAGTCTCTTGCCTTTGTCTACTTGGCCTAACTCTGAACCACGATTCTCAGATATGAATAGCTCAGATTATAACAGAGAGCTAGTGTCTCCTGGCTCTGAACACTTTTTTGAACTGTGATTTCCTCCTTGTTCCAAATATATCACTTTTTATATACAATGACTTATAGGTGCCATTTCTAGAGGTCTGTCCTATAGGAACATTAGTAGAAGTATCAAAGATGTATAAAGCTAGACATTAAACAATGACTGCAGCATAGTAATGAAATAGTTTAATGAAAGAAATTACAAAACATGGTTATATTTAAATGCAATTTTAAAAACAGAAGCCAAGCCCCAGTAGCTCAGGTTTGTAATCCTAACTAGTAAGGAAGCTGAGATCTGTGTATCATGATTCAAAGCCAGCCTGGGCTGGGAAGGCCATGAGACTCATCTCTAATTCACCACCAAAAAGTCAGATGCGGAGCTGTCGCTCAGATGGTAGAGTGCTAGCCTTGAGAATAAAAGGTTCAGGAATAGCACCTAAGTGCTCCGTTCAAGCCCCATAACAGCACCCCATTCCCCCAAATAGAGAAAACTAAAGGCGAACTCTAACTCAGGAAAAACTGGGAAATACACAGACTCTCACCAATTGCCTCGGGGGAGGATGAGAAGATAGGCCAAGGCTTGTGTAGTGACTTATTTTCTTAGTTTCTGAACTTCAGGAAATACTTTGTATAATGACTTTATTTCCTTTTTATTTTGAAATGTGTTATATTATTTTTTATTAGTATTGGGATTTGAACTTGGGGCTTTATAATTGTGTACTAGTGCTCTTAGACTACATGGCCCATGACTACAGTCCTACTTTTTGCTAGTTACTTTGGAGATAGGAGTCTCATGGGCTTTTCTGTCCAAGCCAGCACCAGAGAATGCTGAGCTTTGGCTCCCAGCCTCCCACTCAGCTGGGATGACAGGTGCTACCAATGCCTGGTTAAAAGATTTTTAGATATTAAATAAATTTGCATTTATTAGTTGTAGAAAAGGGGGAATCACATGACATTTCCTTACATGCATACAATGTACCTCATGAACTTTTCCTTGGTGCTAATGCTGGGGCTTGAACTCAACTTTGTGTTCTTGCTTGGCTTTTGTACTCAAAGCTGGCACTCTCTCACTTGACCCAAACTGCCACATCCAGCTTATTGCTGGTTAATTAGATTAGAGTCTCCTGGATTTTCCAGCCTGGCTTGGAAAAAAGATCCTTGGAGCTCAGTCTCCTGAGTACCTAGAATTATAGACCTGAGCCACCAGTGCCCAGCTAAGTCTCCATAACTTCTGATCGCTGTTTTCTTTGACTGATGAAAAACCAGGGTGCAAATGTTCTAGATGCTTCTCAGTATTGCTGAGTCACATCTGTTGGATCAGGTTGGTTGGCCAGAAGGCCAGATTCAGAAGCCCACTGATCCTGTGACTGCCTATCTAGGAATGCTGACTTGGAGATGAGACTGGAGCGGGCAGTGAGCATGCTCGATGCCGACCACACAACCCTGGCCAGGATTTCTGCAGCTGCAACCTTCATACAGCATGAAGGCTTCCAGAAATCCGAAGCTCAGAAAAGGGTGCGTATCTCCTTTAGTCTAGTCACCACCCACCACGTTGTCTGTCCTAAGTTACATCGAAATACCACCCCAAAACCGGTCATTTACTTACATTTTTCAAAATCTTTGCAATAGTTTTCATTTAAAAGGAGATAGGCTGGGCACCAGTGGATGTAGCACCTCTCATCCCAGCTGAGTGGAAGGCTGCCTTAGCCTCCTATACATTGCTGGACCCACACCTAGCCAGGAAAATTCACAAAACCTTTTCATCCAATAGCTACTTAATCAGTGAGTTTCAGAACTGGGATTGTTGAAGTAAAATGTTTGTTTATTTGTGCTCATATTCTTGCTTGAATTTAGGCCCTCATATGTTTCACTCAAGCCTATCACTCTAACACTGGAGCTACAGCTTGCTTCTGGCTTTTTGATAGTTGATTGGGGATAAGAATTGCACAAATTTGCTGGGCACCAGTGGCTCACGCCTATAATCCTAGCTACTCAGGAGGCTGAGATCTGATGATCATGGTTCAAAGCCATCCTGGGCAGGAAAGTTTGTTAAACTCTTAATAATAATATTAAAAAAAATAATAAATAAACCATTCAGAAAACCAGAAGTGGCACAGTCGTTCAGGTAGTAGAGCACTAGCTGAAGAGCTGAGGGACAGCGCCCAGGCTCAGAGTTCAAGCCCCATGACCGACTGAAAAAAATAATTTCACAAAGTTTTCTACCCAGGCTGGTTTCAAACTTCAGCTCTCAGCCTCCTGAGTAGTTAAAATGACAGACATGAGCCACCAATGCCTGGCAGAAGTAGAATATTTAACTCAAATTGAACATTACTATTTTAAGGCAAACTCTATGAGTTCCTTACATTTCAGTCTTAAAGGAGCTGAAATCATTTCTGCTGAGCCAGCTGTCACCACCTTCACTTACAACCATGGCAACTTAATGGACTTGCCTCTAATTGCAGAGGGTTGCACTGGATTCTCCTTCCCACTGCTGGACGGCAAGCTGCGGATCCCAAAT